CCAGCAAACGAATTGGACGGACCTATTCCCTTTCGCAGATGTTGCTTACAATAATGCAGTGCACTCCAGCACAGGTTACACTCCTTTTCAAATAGCTACCGGTCAAAGTTTCAACCCCATGCCAGAACTAACCCCAAATGAACCAGCGATCCCATCACTGAAAAAATGGATGGAACAATTACAAAACACCTGGCTAATAGTTAGAAAAGCACTAGATGAAGCTAGGCAGGCATACAAAGCACAAGCCGATAAAAGAATGGTTGAGCCTACACCATTGATTATAGGAGAAATGGTGTACTTATCTACAAAATACCTAAAATCCCTACAACCCTGTAAAAAACTTGGACCAAAATATATAGGGCCTTTTCCAATTAAAAGAATCATAAACCCAGTAACAGTAGAATTAGAATTACCCCAAAATCTCAGGCAAATACACCCAATTTTTCATTGCAGCTTGCTGAAAAGAGAGCATCAGTCACCGTTACAGCCAAAAATCCCCCCCCACCTCCAATCATGGTGGAGGTCGAACAACACTTTGAAATAAAGGAAATCCTAGATTCTAGGAGATATAATGGAGCAACTCAGTACCTAGTAGCATGGAAACACTTCCCTGCCTCACAAAACGAGTGGGTCCATAAACGTCATGTCAGAGCCCCGAAGCTATTAAAGAAATTTCATATAGAGTATCCTAACAAGCCAGACTAACTTTTATACCTGTTTTGTTTTCTTTTCAGGTGGATCTCTCTTATTTTTAAGGGGGCAGGTTGTCAGAATCCAATTATATTTAATTTCTAGTTATCGACTATGGAAAACCCCATTTCTGCCCTCTCTGGATTCTGTCATACTACGAAGGGGAAGGGGGATGAGCAAAGGGGTTTTATGGCTCTCACTTCCTTCATTAAAACTTCAAAGGGACTGAATGTGGATCTCACCAAGAGGACTGACCATAACAATATGGCCATCACCTTCCATCTACTATTCTCTGAAGTCTCCCTTCAGAGAGATTCTAGTCTTCATGTAGTCACAGAAGGTGACTGCCTGTGACCTTGGACCAGTCACTCCTTAGCCCAAATCAGCATCAGGCTCTGCAACAAGCTAGCTAAAATAAAACCTCACTCTCTGGGTCATATCACGGATTGGCAGACATTCTTGTAAGAATTAAGCAAGCAGACCTCACAACCATGCAGGACAGATGCTAAGAAAAAACAGTATGTGTCTGCTAAAGAATTCCAACATTTCTTCTTTTCTTCTGACAAAATCTTTTCCCAAAATCTATGAATAATTGTTTTAATATTCTTATCTCCCATTCTCTGCTCAAAGGACAATAAGTCAGATCCCACCACACCCAAATCAGCAGCTTTTTCCAATTTGGTCCATTAGTAATGTCTTTATCTCTCTTCTTGCTTTTGCATTAAAGTCCAATATTTGTAATCATAAAGTTTGAGTCATTCTTTTCCAACGTTGCTTCCCTTAGTTGTTTCCAATTCCACTTTTCCTTGTTTCTTCTCAAAAGTCAGACAATTCTTGGCTTAATATACAGTTTTCTATAGCCCTTTCTTTCTGCTTTCCAGAAGGAGTCAAACAACTTTTGCTGGAATGCTTCAGAATCACTTTTGTGTCATCCAAACCTAGAGTAATCAGAAGGCTTGCACTTATACTTTATTTATTTGGCCAAATGTGCTTAAACAAATAAGGAATTTGTCTACAGTACAGAAGCACTGTACTTGCGAAAACAACCAAATATAATAATACTATAGTGTACAGCCAAATATAAAAATAATCAGTTTATTAAACTTGACATCTTTTTTTTCAAAACACTTTTTATTAGTTTTCCATTTTACACCAACACAGCTTAAGAACTCACGTGAATACATGGTGATCCATTTTTTAAAAAACAAACAATAACATAGTAAATATATACCCATTATTTCTTAAAAATTTCTCTCTCTATCTATATAGAATATTATAATCAGATTAGTACATTTTCATTGAGTTCATTCATTACTATGTCTAACCATTGTCTACATTAATAAAAAAAACCTTTAATCTATAAAAACCTATATTTCTTCTCACATTTAACTTAGGCTTAGTGAACTCCATTTATTTAAAGACATTATAATCAAGTCGATATCTAAAACCAATTCATCACTAATATAACATTTCATCCAAATCATATAATTAAAAATAGACTAACATTCTCTATCTATTTATATTATTATAGACTCATTAACACTTTTCTAAAACAAATTTTCATTGAATATATCACTCTATATAAATTTCATTAATCCATAAAAGTTTACAAATTCATTATCCATCCCAAAAATCCTGTATCATGCTTTCTTAATTTTACAAATATTTAATCTTAAACTAACATATTCATTTACTATTCAGGTGCCCCAAGTGTTTTTTTTTATTTAAGCATTATGAACTCCAAAAGTAAATTCTTCTCTTTCTCGCCAATCTTCTATTGTTTTTCATTATTTCTCCAAATCTTCAATAATTAATTCCATCATTTCCCATATTTCAGTTTTTTTCTCATTATACCCATCTCTAGTATCAAAAACATATAAAGCCCTTTTAACAAAGTCCAAGTCCAAATCAATCCAGATCGCTATAAGGCCATTACCACATTACTATAATCAGATTTAATATTTATATCTTATTCTGGATTTCTTTCTAATCCAAACAGGATTCCATAATCAGGCCTCCGCCTGTCACACTATACACTCCAAAATAACCCTCCCATTGTGCACTTTGTTAAGTTTAATATAAAAGTTATAGTTAGTCTGAATGGCTCGTGGCAGAACATCATTTCCCCTTTCTTTTAACATTGAATAAATTTCACTTAAAGTCCCTTCTTTTATGTCGTCCTCTTTGATCACGTTTCTCTTCTTCCCATAATTTTTCCTCTATCTCAAGTTCAAATAACGTCTGCAGATCAACTTGTCTTTCTGAAGTGGGATCATCTAGTTCCTTATCATAAGTCCTTTTGTCCATTAATGTCAAATCTTTTTTTCAAAATCAATTGATTGTCCAACTGTAAATTTACTTCTTCCACCTCGGTAAGCAAGGTACAAGCCTCTTGTAAATAAACTGATGTTTCACTTAGTCCTTGTCTTTTTCCTTGTCGATAACAAAAAATCTCTTTTGAACAAGCAATTATCTCATCCGTATTTTCCAAAATTTTAGCCAGAATATACTTGTAAAAGTCTACACCAGTTTCCTCCATCTTTATTATCTTTCAAGTCTTTATCCTTTTAGAGGAAACTATATTTAAAGAGCGATCACAATATCCCTCTCCTCCCAATTTCCTCGCCTTTTTTCTTTGTACAAAATGAAAGCCTTTCCAGCGAAGAAAAGATAGCAAGTACAATGAATAAGTTTATCAAAAGGTGTCCCCCAGAAAGTAATCAGATGTTCAATCCTTCCAGACACCATAAAGGTACAAGCAAACAATATTCTCCAAATATTATAAAAAAACTTTCTTGAGGCTCCCAATATCCAAAAATAAAATCAGTCATCAAAACAAAAATAATTTAATCCTTTGTGCTTCTCTTCCCCCATTTAACAAGCCACTTCATCAAAAAGGGAGTAATTTCAAAAGAAAAAAAAACTTTTCACAGGTATAAAGAAAGTAGAGGTAAAAGGAAAGTCTCACCGAGTTCTCCACAGTGGGTCCATTTGCTTAACTGATCTTGTGGCTTGCAGTTGGCACAGCTAAATGATCGGCCATTTTACTGGCCGATCTTTACCCTGTCAGCCCAAAGGAGATACTCGGTGCACAGAGGATACCGCCGCTCCTCTGCAACTACCGAGAAGCCTCCTCAATGGTAGATGCTCCTCCAGAGTGTCTTTTCAACCCTCTAAGGCAGTGGTTCTCAACCTTTTTAATGCCGCGACCCCCAACCGGTCGTAAGTCGAGGACTACTCAACTGGTGCAGCACCGTTTGCAGAATGGGACTTTTGGTGGGCTCTGCAGGGCAGAGACAGCCTGGACAATTCCTATTGGCTTTTGAAAGCCAATAGAATTAGACTCTATTCAAGAGAGTCTATTCTATTGGCTTTCAAAAGCCAATAGAATAAAAGGGAGTAGCACAGCTAAGGAAAAGGGGAAAAAATGGTGGACTGCGTTGTTTGGCGATCCCCGTGAAATGGTCGTTCGACCCCAAATGGGGTCCCGACTCACAGGTTGAGAACCACTGCTCTAAGGGGTTTACCGACAGGGGAAACTTGATTGGCAAAAGGACGACTCCCTTTGCTCGACCGCACCGCCACGAACCGGAACCGGAAGCCCCAAACTTGACATCTTTAAGATGTACAAACTTTTTCTGTCTTTGTAGCATTGTTAATATCTAAACTTCTTTTTAGAGGGGAATCATCTTATCATCTTTTTGAGAAATATTTGTCATAGTCTGAATTTATGAAATTTTACAGGATCCAAGCAGTGGTCCTCTCTGACTTCCTCTGATTTTTCCAGGAGGGCAAATCTATTAGGGAGAGAAAGGTAGAATAACTGCCAAATCAGAAGTGCTGTGTGTATGATCCACTACAGGTAGCTATGCAGCTGTTTTAAAGGTGGGTAAGATGACTTCTGAGTATCAGTTGGAAGCAAATGATGGAATGATGGCTGTTCCACTTATGCCCTGATTGCGAACTTTCTAATTAGTCACTAGTGGAAAAAGGAATGTGGACTAAATTAATTCAGACTACTCAATTAAAATATCTTTGCAACTAAAATTGTTAAATAGCCCGAGGTATTCAAAAGAAAAGTAAAAACAGCAGTTGAGGCTTTCTACTTCAAAATGTTTCACTAACAGACACCAGATCCCAATTCCATATTTCATTACTCTTTTTTTCAACATCTGGCTTTTTAAAATCCAATGGGTCTGGACTAAGCAAATCCCCAAAAGGGGAAGCTGGAGATCTTTTAGCTTTTTCACAACTGCTTTATAAATTCAGCCAGAGATAACATACTGTAAATGCCAAAGAAAATGGCTTACCATAAAGATCTTCACAGGCTTTGTTCTTGTTAGCATAATAAACAATGTGACCAGCTATTTTTTTCTGGCAGTTCAAGACAACTTTTATAGCTGTAGAAGTAGCAACTTATATATTTTTTCTTTTCTTACTTGCTTTTGAATCAGAGATTTCTCCATGCTACTTCAGCTAATTACATACTTGCTGGAGTTTACCACATCCTGATCTGCTGTTACTTTCACTCTTTGAGCTTTTTCCATAAATTCAGGTAGATCAAAACCATATCATGTGGCTGGACATGTAGCATAAGAAAGCGATTAACAGATTCTTAAAACTTATTACCTTATTGTATATCAGTCAGAATACAACAATAGAGAAATTAGAGATCCAATATTTACTTAGGTTTTTAGAAGTTTTTCCCCCTTCTCCCTCACTCCTTGTTAAAAAATTCTATCTTTAAATAACTAAATGGTGCAGACCCTGGCACTCGGAAACTCAAAAATCCTCTTTATTGGTAAAAATGATGTATATTGTTTTCATGGATAAATTTTCATAAGTTTCTCTAATTTATTTTCATAAAAAAATTTTCACTTGTTTGCTTTCTCTTTTTTAAAAAAATGAATAATTAAAAATGAATAATTTATAATCGCACATTATAGATTTTTAAGAGCACATTTCTGAGCTGGAGAGCCATGTACCTTTCGGAGAGCTGTGAAGGAACTCACTGCTGCCTTCTCTGGTCTGAGGACAATGGCTTACTCTCAGCTGAGCCACCTCCTCAATGCTGTTCTCTAACCTTCTCTCAAGCTCATTCTTTTCTTCTGCCAGCCGTTTCTTCTCTTCTTCCAAAGCTGACTTATCTTGAAGGAGTTCGTTTATGGTAGATTCCAGGCTGCTGGTTTGGATGTCCCTCTGGGCTTGTCCCCTCTTCAGACTCTCTACCTCCCTTTGAAGCAAGTCAACTGTAGATAAGGAAGTCCTCCTAACTTGGCTTCCATGTAGCTGATTCACCTGGTTCTCCAGAAGGCCAAGCCAAGTTCTAGTTGATTCTAGTTCCAGCTGCTGAGCTTTGCTTTTTCGCTGGAGATTTTGAATGCTTATCAATATCTCACTTAAGCCAGTACAGCTGTCTTCATATTTACTGGGTACTGCAAAGCAATAAATGCATCTTCCATCCTGGTTATTGTTTTTATAAAAATGGACGTGACTCCCCAATGCTCCCCATGCCATCCAGACTGAAATCAGCCATGTCACCAGCATCTCTGTGATTTCACACCAGCCTCTCTCTTTTAAAATGAAGCAAGTTCTTTGAGAAACAACATGGATAAATTCATTCAATGCTTGCAGACCACAATTTTGTAGGGTTGGGAGTTAAGGGAGGTGCAGTAGAGGTTGGCTAGAAGAAGAAGCAGCAGCAGCAGCAGCACTTACAGAATATTTTAAAATTTTAAAACTGTCTTAAAGGAATAGCATTTTTTCTTAGAAAATATTACAAGACAACCTGCCAATTTTTGGCTCTTAGAGGCAGATCTGAAGCTTTAAAGAGCTATAAAGTCAACAGCTTATGTGTTTCTGGATGCATATATGAGAAAAGAAATGACTGAGAACTATTCTTTGGAATTTTCAATAGTTACTCTACAGCAGTGGCCCCCAACCTTTTGGGCACCGGGGACCAGTTCCATAGAGAGAGGTTTTTCCATGGACTGGAGGGAGCGTGGTTTTGCATGCTGCCTGCATCCACAGATGGGGCTTCGCTTGTTTGCGCAGACCGGTTTCTGGCATGCTGCAGCCTGGTGCCAGTCCACAGAACGGGGTTTGGGGATCCCTGCTCTACAGTATTTAATATTCACCATTTAAAAAGAACCTCTATTTTGTAAATTGATGTAACATCACAAATACATACATTTTGGGTATTTTATAAATACATTTTATTATAAAAATAGATGCATGCATCAAAATAGATGGGGTTCTATTAAGAGAACCACTTAGCAGATTCTCACCCTGACTAGAAAAATGATGACACCATGATTCATTCTTTCTCTTGCAGTCTTCTGTGCTTCCAAAACTTTCCTTTTGAAGATCTGCTTTAACAAGATTAATTGGACTTGGCAAAAGTGATCTCTCCAACAGGTTTTTTCAACAGGATTCTAGCATATTCAGAATGGCCATTCAGAATTTTCTCATCACTTCATTTAGGGTAAGATCACACAGTAAATGGCATCATAAAGTAGTCAACCTCATTTTAGCTTAGCCTGGTATGTGAATTCAGCCTCTGCAGTTGGTTTGTAACTCTGTATTGTATGAATCTAGAAAATGAGATTAATTGAATAAAACAATTTAGGGTTGAGGAGAACATAGCCAAATCTATAATATACAAATGTTTTCTAGATTACCCTGGAAAGACCAATACAGTAGTGTTTTGATAATTTTCTCTTATTCTAGGATATTTTCTTTCAGTATCCCAATTTCCACAGCTTGGTGTAAGAATTAAAGGGAGAGCTGTAATTGTTAATGATCTCAGTTTTCTCCCCAATATGTTGGAGGAATTACCCACTCTTTCCTTCCACCAATCCTTAAACTTGGATGTTTCTAAGGCAAGATCTGTAGAAAGTTCTATAGTCTCATCCACAACTTTTAAAAGTCAGATCTTCCTTGCAAGAGTAGAGGCTCTGCAAGAGACACGATCAAGCAGATCACCTCCTATGGGCCCCATATTTTAGACAATTCCTGTTCTAAGGGTAAAGGAAAGGGCAGTTTATTTACTCATTTATTTTTAATTTATCTTTTTAATACCGCGACCCTCAACCGGTTGTAAGTTGAGGACTACTCAAACGGTCGTAAGTCGAGGACTACCCAACCGGTCGTAGGTTGAGGACTTTCCCTACCCGGAAAGGTCTAGAAGAGCCTTTTCTCTTGTGGTCGCCACACGGAGCAGAGACCCACCTCAATCATTTTGCCCTTCCAAAAGGACTTTAAAACAGGGCTCTGCCAGTTGGCTTATTGCCCTAATGGGAGTGCTTACACTGGAGATGACCGACAGAGTAAGCAACAAAAACCCACCCCAATGCTATCTGTCCTCTTAGCTTTTAGTCTCTATTTTTTAATAAATAGGGCAAATTAAAAAAATAAAGCCATTGCTTTTTCAATTAAAAAAAATCCTGTCACCCTTTTGGGTGTGTCTTTCTTAATCTCTGGTCATCTATCAGATACCTGGGAGTTTGAGGTTTCTGAGCAGTATCTTAGCAGTTCCCAGCACTGCACTCTTCTGCATAGAGCAGCGGTTCTCAACCTGTGGGTCGCGACCCCATTTGGGGTCGAATGACCATTTCACGGGGATCACCAAACAACGCAGTCCGCCATTTTTTCCCTTTTCCTTAGCTGTGCTACTCCCTTTTATTCTATTGGCTTTTGAAAGCCAATAGAATAGACTCTCTTGAATAGAGTCTAATTCTATTGGCTTTCAAAAGCCAATAGGAATTATCCAGGCTGTCTCTGCCCTGCTGAGCCCGCCAAAAGTCCCATTCTGCAAATGGTGCTGCAAGTTGTCTGCAGCAAAAGCGAGCTGTCTCGAAGTTTCCACCCCTCCCTGCTGAGCAACTACTAAAAATGTAAGTAAAAGAGGGCCAGGGGTGGGAGGCTGGCGGGCGCAGGGAGGGTTGCTGGCGCATGTGGGGTCCGGCGGGTGCCTTATCTCCCTTGGGCTGGGCCAGCTGGTGGCCCAGCCGGTGGTCACCCTACGCTGTCACTGCCCATTGCCAGCTACGCCTCAGCCAGCGCAGGGGACAGCACCATGCATGCGCGGCGCTTCCGGGCAGGGAAAGTCCTCAACTTACGACCAGTTGGGTAGTCCTCAACTTACAACCGGTTGAGTAATCCTCAACTTACAACCGGTTGGGGGTCGCGGCATTAAAAAGATTGAGAACCACTGGCATAGAGAGCTCCAATGTTGTTCCTGGAATATGTTGGAACCACTCTCCCAGCTTAGGAATCACAGTCCCAAGTACTCCAACCACCATTGGACCATTTAGGCCTTTACTTTCCACATCTTCTCTAGTTCTTTCTTCAGATACTGATATTTCTTCAGCTTCTCCGTGCTCCTTGATGTTGCAGAAGTAAGGGTGACTGGGTTCTCTTTTCGTTTGTTCTGGAGCAGCTTCTGTTCCCCACTGTCAGCCCCTCAAGGAATACCAGAAAATCAACTTCAGAGGAAGAGCAGAACTATACTTTATTGAGAGAGAGTATAATAACAGAATCTTGCAAGCCTGATTGTCCCTCTTATTTCACAAATTATTTGTCTGAGTCTCTTCAGAATATTAGTCACATATAGTCATATATGTCAAACTTTTAGCAGGAAAGGCATACTGTATTAAATAATTGAGTTTGGGAAATGGATTAAATGACTAAATTTATATAATCCCAAATTTTGCCCGTTACCTTAATCTTCTCCATCAGTGACTCCCCACATGTTGAAAAAAAATGGCTTCTTTGCTGTTCATAGAATGAAACAACAGGACACTATAGAACAAGGGTGTCAAACTTGCAACGTCGTACCGTGATTTTTTTCTCCATTGCCTGCAATGGGGTGGGTGCGGTTTTGGCATGACGCATCCGGCCCAAGGGCCAGCAGTTTGACACCCCCGCTATAGAAGAAAACAATTAGGAAAACTAGATGGAAGGCATAGTAACAAAAAGAAGATTTAACAGTTATCAATGTAAAGGTAGCAGTGCAAAATAATGGGGATTGCCCAGAAAATATGTTCAGAAAGAAGCACGCAGGATCATAAGGAACAGCAAATTATAGGAATAGAAAATTACCGAAGTTCAGAAAGAAAAGACCAGGAAAAGTTAACATAGAAATCAATTCAAAGAATCAATAGCAGTGATAGTAACACAGACAAAAATAGATGTCTTAAAATAAGTTTTTTCAATTAATGTCAAATGATTTCTCTGCTGAAAGGAATGAGTGTAATCAAGATCAACAAAGGATTTTTAAAAATGAATGGCAGCATGAAGAGAAAAAAACAAATAAAACATTTCTTTTTAAAAGCTTGAGGAAAATTTTGGAATGAATAGAACCCAGGGCAGTTGGATAAAGATATGGAAATACAATGCAGCTAATGAGAAAACTGGCCAGTCTCTCCAGTAATACAAGACTACACACTGATTTGCAAGTACCACAAAGCATCATTCCATTTCTGTGACTCAACCATTATTTTGTGCCCCATGATTACCATAGTGATTTATAGCTCATGTAAGATAATTTATCTACATGCTTTAGAAAAAGGTACATTATCACTTGAAGAGGGTACAATATTTTCCAATATTGTGCAAAGACATTTTTATTTTGTTCCCTGATATTATTTTGCTGGCTTGCTTTGTGTGATTGACCTTATTTTTATTGTACTTTAATACAATAAAATGTTCCATGCTTTGGCAACCTTTTATATCATGGAATGACATACGAACCATACAAAACACATTTCTAATGCATATACATATATACACACACTCCTTCACACCTCCATATGAATATGTTACCTTGCCACATCAAACATTTTAAGTTATTTAGGTCTTGAAGCTGGAAAATTAAATACAGGAAGTGTGCTTTCATGGTACACCAATTCTTGTTTCTTGCATAAATAGTCCTCAACTTACCATCACATATGAGCTCAAAATTTTCATTGCTAAGCAAGACAGTTGTTACGTGAGTTTTGCCCATTTTACGACCTTGCTTGCCACAGATGCTAAGTGAATCAGTGCAGTTTTTAATAACAGTTTTTAAGTGAATCTGGCTTACCCATTGACTTTGCTTATCCGAAGGTGGCAAAAAGTAATCACACAATCTTGGGACATGGTAATCGTTATAAATACATGCCAGTTGCCAAGCATCCAAATTTTAATCATGTGACCACAGGGATGCCGCAACGATTGTAAGTGTGAAAAATGGTCATAAGTGCTTTCAGTGCTGTTATAACTCTGAATGATCACTAAAGAAATGGTTGTAAGCTGAGGACTATCTGCAATCTCTTTTTCATGCCAGTAGTTCTGCACTGATATTCCATGCCTACTCAGAAAGCAATATTCATTCCTCTGCACACAGTAATGAACAAGAAAGTTTCCTAGAGAATGGGATAATAAGCAGCCTAAATAATAAACATGGAAGAAAGAGAGATGCCAGGGAGCCCCAAAACTATTGCTAAAGGCCTAGATGAAGACTCAGGCCAACTCTAGGTTTCAAAGATGAAAAGGAAATGCTGCATTTTTTGTCATATACCTGAATATACCACATAGGAACCCCACTGCTGTTAATGTTGCAGCAGAAATCATACTGTTTTGCTTGCAGTTGCATGAATAAGAGCATTCTTTTTTGTTTAAATATTCAAAGTTTGCAAAACTTAAATTGCCTTAACTGAATTAGAAGCTTCTTTATTTCAGTAATTTACTAAGAGCTAGACATTTGCAGTCAAAAATAGTTTTTTACTGGAATGCATTTATAGAATAACAAGAACACAGAACTTCAGAATCCCTTAAATACAGAATGATGGTTTGCAAACCCATATTTTGGGATATTTTCCCCCATAAGAAAGTCATCTTTGTAATTATTCAGTTGAAGAAAGAATGTTTTTTTAAACAATGATATAGACTATACAGTTCCTTCTTCCCTCCATAATTCTTTGCTCCACTACTTTATCAATAGCTGTAGGAAACTATTTAAATTATAAATAACATTACCAATTTTATATATACATATATTATACACACACACACACTTATATATACATTATTTAAAAAAACAAATAAAATACTGACAAGTATCTGATTCCATATAGGTCTCCTTTGTAACAACAACAATGAGGTTTTGGATCCGATATTGGCAGTATAGTTAATTCTTGACTGAAAGTCATGTTTGCCAGGTCCTCTGGATGCTCTTGGTGGAACTGGGTAGATATGCTTCCCTGGGGGTTGAGGTGGGATGCCCTTCAGAGCTATATACACAATACATCCCACTGAAATCATACAGTTGCTAGCTTTGCTATTATCCTGAAGTGGTGTCCACAAGAATGTTCATCTCCAAGTCAAGTGCGGTGTTTGAGGATGATGGGAACTGCATAAGAAACACCATCTTTAAATCACTTGTAAAAATAATTGTCAATTAACTAATTTCAACCCTAAAAACCTATCTATACTAGTCACTGGAAATCATCTTTGCAATTACCATATTGGATTCGCCTATTGGTAAGTCACGGCTTGCTTAACTATAGTTTGCTTAATGATTTATAACTAAATAGGTTAACATAACATAAATAATAAATTAGGGTTTATAAAGTATTGCAGCTAAATTTGTCTAAAACCCCAGAGAAGGAAACTTCATAAATCTAATTAGTTAATCCTAAAAAGTGTTTAATTCTGGTTAAATGGTTACCATTTATTCTTAAATTTACATCTATAGTGAGGGAAAAAATTATTTGATCCCCTGCTGATTTTGTACGTTTGCCCACTGACAAAGAAATAATCAGTCTATAATTTTAATAGTAGGTTTATTTTAACAGTGAGATTAACAAAAAATCTAGAAAAACGTTTTTCAAAAAAGTTATACATTTATTTGCATTTTAATGAGTGAAATAAATATTTGATCCCCTATCAATCAGCAAGATTTCTGGTTCCCAGGTGTCTTTTATACAGGTAATGAGCTGAGATTAGGAGCACTCTCTTAAGGAGAGTGCTCCTAATCTCAGCTTGTTACCTGTATAAAAGACACCTGTCCACAGAAGAAAGCAATCAATCAGATTCCAAACCCTCCGCCATGGCTGAGACCAAAGAGCTGTCCAAGGATATCAGGGACAAGATTGTAGTCCTACACAAGGCTGGAATGGGCTACAAGACTATCACCAAGCAGCTTGGTGAGAAGGTGACAACAGTGGGTGCAATTATTCGCAAATGGAAGAAACAAAATAACTGTCAATCTCCCTCTGTCTGGGGCTCCATGCAAGATCTCATCTCGTGGAGTTTCAATGATCACGAGAACAGGTGAGGAATCAACCCAGAACTACACGGGAGGATCTTGTCAATGATTTCAAGGCAGCTGAGACCATAGTCACCAAGAAAACAATTGGTAACACACTATGCAGTGAAGGACTGAAATCCTGCAGTGCCTGCAAGGTCCCCCTGCTCAAGAAAGCACATGTACAGACCCGTCTGAAGATTGCCAATGAGCATCTGAATGATTCAGAGGAGAACTGGGTGAAAGTGTTGTGGTCCGATGAGACCAAAATCGAACTCTTGCTGTCTTTGGAGGAGGAATGCTGCCTATGACCCCAAGAACACCATCCCCACCGTCAAATATGGAGGTGGAAACATTATGCTTTGGGGGTGTTTTTCTTCTAAGGGGACAGGACAACTTCACCGCCTCAAAAGGACGATGGACGGGGCCATGTACCGTCAAATCTTGGGCGAGAATCTCCTTCCCTTGGCCAGGGCATTGAAAATGGGTCATGGATGGGTATTCCAGCATGGCAATGACCCAAAGCACACAGTCAAGGCAACAGTGGGTCAAGAAGAAGCACATTAAGGTCCTGGAGTGGCCTAGCCAGTCTCCAGACTTTAATCCCATGGAAAATCTGTGGAAGGAGCTAAAGGTTCGAGCTGCCAAGCGTCAGCCTCGAAACCTTAATGACTTGGAGAGGATCTGCAAAAAGGAGTGGGACAAAATCCCTCCTGAGATGTGTGGCCAACTACAAGAAATGCCTGGCCTCTGTGATTGCCAACAAGCGTTTTGCCACCAAGTAGTAAGTCATGTTTTGCAAATACTTATTTAACTCATTAAAATACAAATCAATTTATAACTTTTTTGAAATGCATTTTTCTGTATGTCTTTGTTGTTATTCTGTCTCTCACTGTTAAAATAAACCTACCATTGAAATTATAGACTGATCATTTCTTTGTCAATGGGCAAACGTACAAAATCAGTAGGGGATCAAATACTTTTTCCCCTCACTGTAAACATTACTGAATGGACTGTCCTAAATATTCTAGCATTAAGAGTGTATCCCCATTAAAGCAAAAGATCTGAAGCAAACTTCTACATCAATAGATAGAACAATAGAAGGAGACAGACATCAAAGCAGAAAGACTGAAGGAATAGGTAAATTTTCTTTTTATCAATCAAGAATGTCACAAGGCTATTTCAAAGTACCATCATCAATGCAGAACATTTTATTTATTTTATTATATTTACAAGAATATCAGAAAGGAATACGCACCAATAATGATTAGCAATACAGCAACAGCAACCAAAGCTACAATTGCCTTCATCTGCAAATTAACACATAGAATAGTATGTAATTAATTCCCAACTGTAGACACAATTGATCAGCTTAATCCAGGTTAAACAGCATGCCAATAATAATGAACATGTTCAGATAATTCAAAGTGGTTACAGTTTCAAAATGATCTAATCTAATCTCAAGGATCAAAACCACATTAAGCCAGAATGTGAGTACAGGTAGTTCACATTCAACAACTATTCAAAGTTATAATGGTACTAAATGAGAGGCCCTATAGCCATTCCTTGTGGTAGTGGCTACTGCAGCATCCCCCACAATCATGTGATTGTAATTTGAGTACTTGGCAACCAACTCACAATTACAGCCATTGCAGTGTCCTGCAGTTCATTCATTTGATATTCATTTGAGAGATTAACAATTGGCTTCCAACAAGCAAAGTCAATGGGAAAGCTGGAAGGAGGTTGCAAGGTGTGATCACATGACCACAGGATATTGTGACCATGTGGGATTCACCTAATGATGGGAACTGGGACTGCTGCAATTGCCATTGTAAGTCACTATCATGTCATACTTTATGAACATGTTGCTTAGCGATGGAGTTGCCATTGCCAATTACCATAGTTAATCAAGGCCTAGCTGTATTTATTAAGCAATAGATTTATTCAGCAATCTAGATTTGAAGGGGAAAAGTTGATTCAGAGCACATCAGAGTGCTTATGTCATACTAGGCAGCAATTCTTTCAAAATGTTCTATCTTTTCCAATGTTCATTGACTTGCCTGCACTCCTAAGCATCCTTCAAATTCAGATCACAGCACACGCATAATGTACTTTTAGATACTATAAAGTATGAATGAAGTAAATCAATAAATCATAGTTGCTTTTAAGCAGTAACCCAGTTTGAAATTGTAATACTGATTACTACAACATAGTGTGAATATGAACAGTTTTTGTGTGCAGTCTTCTGAGGGTGGGAGAATTGGGAGGCAAGGGAATTTGCTATAGTTGCTCTAGCTGCACACAAGCTTCATAAAGGAGTTTTGCACTTCTCTTGCTAATCACTTTTAAAAGTTGTCAATTAACTGTTTCAAAGAAGTTAGTCACTTTCAAAGTGACAAGATTGCAAACATCATGTGAGTGTCTTCAACACTTTATATAAAAAAATGAAAATGTATGTTTACAATCTTTAAGAATTTAAAATAAACAGTAAAAAGACAAGATTTTAGCTACAAAAAGTTTTACACATATTACGGACTCAAAAACTATGGGAAAATTAGGATTTTGAATATTAAGACTCTGAAATTGCACCAGAACTTTGAATCAATTATATGCTATATTGTGCCTTCTTGGGAACAATTTCAGACATTGATTCTGAATGTAAGAAGCTGTTCCCGCAGTACCCATAGAACTTCAACCTCAGTAGACACAAAGCCAAGAATCACGTGAGGCTGATCAAACACAGGCACTACCTGAACAGATGGGGCAGTCAGATGATGTAAGCTCACCCAACCCTCACACCCAGAAAGCAGAGTGGACAGCAGAGAAGAGACATTTTGTGAGACTCCTTGCCAAGCAAGGGAGCAAATCTATTGATTAGCTGGCTGGAGTTGATTTAAAAGACGTCCCTAACCATGTTCCTTTATTAGAATGAACCATATGATTCCAGATCTTGTTTGATGTTCACGTATTGTGCTTGTGGAGTTCTGACCTCTGGATCGACTGACCACTCTGACCTGGATCTTGAAAATCTAAACTGGATTTTGACTATTCTTCTGTTTGCTAATTTTAAAAGCTAAACACTCAGGCAAGCTTCTTTCAGAAACTCTATTTTGGCTTGCATTTCTTGTCTGATATTATCTCTTTCACTTTGAATAAACTGCTAATTTCTCTAGCAACTGTGTGAGTATATATTTAAAACCAAAAAGTGTTATAGAAAAAGATATGCAACAAAATCTACCTGAGAATATGAACAAGTATTTGAATAAGAAATTGGCATTAGCATAAAGAAGAAAAATGGAATGAAGCTTTAAAATTTAAGAAGTAAACCAAAATGACAACTGGAATAATTTTTTTTTTTGCTTACAAAAGATGCTGCTTAAAGTATTGAAGAAATTTGTAAAAAAAGGATCAATAATCATCTGAATTGTATTAATATATCTGAATGTATTGGTTGGACTGGAAAAATGTTATATATTGGATTTGCTTATATTTAATATGGTGTATAAGGTTTTTCCCTTACAGCTACTTTATGTATCATAATTTGACAGTATTTTAACTGGCTCTATATTTAACTGATTTTTTTATTTAAAGAAATTTTGTGAATTTGTTCTTTTAAAGAAGAACTTATCCTTCTTTGTTAAGTTAAATTTTACTCATTTGTTTATATTAGGGTACCGGGATTACATTATTTGCTAAATGTTTTAATTATTTTTTTGTTGTTTTAAAACTTGTAAGCCGCTGGAGTCCCCTTGTGGGGCAGATGGGTGGCATAAAATTTTCATAAATAAATTAAATGTGGATTTGTTTATAGTTAAGGGTTAAGATATGGAATGGGATATATTGCTATTTGAAGCAATTCTCTTTGGAATTGTTGGCATTTGGAGAGGAAAAATGTTGTGTATTGGATTTGTCTACACCATGGCTTTTCAACCGGTGGTACATGTACCACCTGTGGTACTTTGCCATGTAGCAGGTGGTACATGACTGCTAGCCAAATGTAACAGGGGGGAGGGGAATGAACTGAAGCAAGCCAAGCCTGAGGGAGATGCAGCTGCAGCAGTGGCAGAAGCCCAGGAGCCGGCAGGGCTCCAACTGATTGTCTCCAGCTGATTGGTGCTTCCGGAAGCAGTCTGGAGCTGGAGGTGAACTGAAGAAAAAAGAGGGGGGAGGAGAGGAGAGGCTATAAAAGGAGATGGTTTGGGCAGGAAACGGAAAAAAAAGACAACAGGGAAAGAGAAGGAGCGGTCAGCCGGCAGGAAGGAAACAGGGACAGAGAAGAAGCAGCAGCTGTTGCTGGAAGAAAAGGTCCCCTGGTTCGTTTTCTCCAGCCAGGAGAATGCAAACAGCACTGATGAAATGAAAAGCCGGAAAGGAGGTGGGTTTATTTAGTTCTAGATCAGCTGGCAGCTTGATTGAGTTACCATAAGGATTTTTGTACAGTTTTTACAGCATTTTGTAATTCAGAGGCTCCTTTGTGTGCTTTGGTTATTGGAATATTTTAGGCTAGCAATGAATCCAAAGTGTTGACTTCCGTAGGTTTAATCCCTTTAAACAAATGTAATTAGTTTTACCCCCTTATATTGAGTCTGTCTATGGCTTTTAGAAAGTTTTCTTTGAAGGTAAACAGGTTTAATTTAAAGCTAAAGCTTTTCCAAATTGCAGGAGCCTTTCAGTCTGGGATTGCAACATTGTGGCATGTGACACGTCTGAGGCAGTTTAAAGAGAGAGAAAAAAAACCCCCGGAGTTTGTGTGCTTATTTTGTGAGCCTTTTTTGCTTTACACTTGATTCCTGTGTCTTTAAGGGTGTGGGAGGGTGCATTCTTGGTACACTGTGGAAGGAGAGCTAAGAAGGACTGACCAGCTAGCTCAGGGTCTACAAACTTAGCAACTTTAAGACCTGTGGACTTCAACTCCCAGAATTCCTCATCCAGCCATGATGGCTGAGGAATTCTGGGACTTGAAGTCCACAAGTCTTAAAAGTGCCATGTTTGAAGACATGAGCTAGCTGGTATGGTGCATATTAATAAACATGGATAAATTCATCATACATTTGTCAGTGCAAACGGAAAGTGATTCAGCAAAGGAACAGCCACCAAAGAAATTAAAACTGGTACTTTTTTACTTTTTTCCTACAGTTTGTAATATTTTATTAGATTATAGAATAAAATACAAAAATACAAAAGCAAATAGTAGGACACAGTGGGGAGGAAAAGGGGGGGAAAGTGAGGGGGAGAAGAGAAAAAGAACAGACTTCCTCTGTTGTAGTTGAAGGAAGTATTAACATTGAAACTCAACTTTTTATTTTTCCATAATATTATAAACTAGCCATTTCTATAACAAATGAATCTAATGTGTAAAACCCAAAATACGCCTTTTTTTTAGTCATCAAGTTTTTGACACCTTGCTAAGCACTGGTGGTACTCAAATATTGTCATGTCCTAAAAGTGGTACAATCTGTGATAAGGTTGAAAAGCCCTGGTCTACACTTAATGCAGTGTTCAAGGGTTTCCCCCCCCCCCCTTACAGTTACTGTAGAAGTAAGGGATATTTGTGAGCTTGTTTTTTTAAAGGAGAAATGCTCCTTCTTAGTTATTTGCTTACACTAGCATACCAGGATCATTATTATCAAAGGGCTCTGTTTGGACTTTTTGCTGACACCTGGATTGAAGAAGATGTATTGGAACGATCTATATGTTATCTAGAGTTTTAGGCTTCATTATTAGTATTTTATCATGGCAGTCTAGGCTCTTTTTTAATTTCAGGAAAGAATGATTTTCTTCTTAGCCAAGATAATTTCTTTTGGTACGCAAGAACTTGCCTTTTCAGAACTAAAACAGCACTGAGTATATTCTGAAAGTCTTTGAATGCACTTACAAGTTTTAAAAAGATACAAACCCAGCTGGGAAAGGGGTGTGATGTAACCCATGAAGTTGCCACTTGTGGAATGTTATCTAGACTGTTTTCTATTGTTCAATTCTCACATGTAATCAGTGTTTTTTTATTATTTGATCAATTGCTTCCTGAGGTCATTTGTTTTGTACTTATAAAAAGACTTGCCTCTCCCCTTTAATAAATTCTATTTGCTTTGCTTGCATTACTTGATTTGTATTTTCAGGTGGAAAGCTCCTTTGCAAAGGTAAAGATAAGGGATCCCTCAAATTCAGGGATCAGGTCCATGCTAAAATTGGGTTGCCTGATTTCTGGCCAACACATGGTTAAAACTTGAGTTATGAAATGAAGAGTTTTATATTTATTAAGAAGAGGTGAAGAGATTATGAAAATTGTAATGAAAATGAAAAGTTGTTTTCTTTGAGACAGTTCTTTTTATTTTTTTCTCTTTTTTGCACCTTTTTTCTTTTCTTTTTTTCTTCAGTTAGTATTATCTTTTACTGTTCTAATTAAAATTTTTAATAAAAATTATTTAAAAAGATAAAATTGCAAAGTATAGAAAGGTAAAAGAAATAAACCAAACTGGTCAAATAAACCACAATTGCAATATTTAGCAAACAAGATAAGCCTCACCTTGCAGCCTCGCCACCACATTTGTCTTCTGAGCTGTTTGGATCTGTTACTAAAAGCTGTTGCATTATCTGATAAGCTTTCTGCACCAAATAAAGAGACAGAGAAATGGAATTGAACAGCCTACCATAGTGGTAAGATAAAGCTTTTGCCTCTATCCTGATTTTTTTTTAAAAAAAGATCCATCCGTATCATGAACAGAGAATTCTGCACGATTTCATTCCTTATAGGGAATCTAAGAAAAACAACCAAATTCTATCTAACATCAATTTGTTCAACAATTGTTCAAAATTAGGACAGTGCTAAACTAGGAGGATTTAAAAATGGGTCCTTGCAGTTGCAACTGTCAGTGTCGGTCACATGACTGCAATTCAGATGAATAGGGATTGGTTTGCAATTGCAAGATCATAGAAGTTTGTTTGTGCTCACGTGATTGCCATTTACAACCTTCATTGTTGGTTTCCAACAAGCAAATCAATGGGGAAACCAGCAGAAGATGGTAAGTGAAAAAGAAATGGCTGCAGCATGCTGCAACCACACAGGATTTGTCTACAGTAGCAACGGGGATAGCCAGAACTGTTGGCATAAATCAGCTGGTCATGCAACATTGCATCTTACCACTACATTGCTTACCAATGGAGTTTTTTCAATCTCAATTCCTCTGGCAAATGAGGACTATATATAGTCTATGTTACTAAAAAGCTCTCTTTTAGATCATTAGTTCTGTAATTACTGTAGTTTTGGAATTGAAGACAAAGCTGTTTAGTAGAACTTTCGAGTTAAGAGATATTGCTACTTATTTACTGTTGTCGCATCTTGATAGTTACTGTGGATGATTTTAATCTATTCCATTTTTATTTTTAACACCATACCATGAATGTTTTAGTGTATTTGACACTACAAGCCACCAAGAGTCTTTTAATTGCTGTGGATTCCCATCTGTAGCACAAGAGTGGGAGGTGTATTTCTTATGATTAGCTGTTTTTGTCTCTCCACCTTACATTTAGCAGCAAGGGTTACATTTTCATAGATCTATGAGACATTCAGAGCCATTTTTCTTAGAGAGTGTGGTAAAAGTATTAAGGGAGAAAATATTCTGAGCTTTAAAATAAAAAAAAAAGGCACCCATGTTCATTTTTTCCACGAACAAGCTCACTCTAAAACAGACACAACAGTATCACTGCTGTGTACCCAGGACCCCACGCACGCAACAGGGAACCTAAGAAATAAGAACAGATAATGAAATCCAAGTATGCTGAGATTAGGTAATATGAGAGACACGGTGTTCCCGGAACTCAGTTTCACCTTCTAAAAGGGAAGGCGAAAAGTACCTACCTGACTTATCTTGCAAATCATCCAACCGCTCTCCTCTCTCTATCACTTTGGTGATATTTTCTTGCATGACATCAATAACTTCATCAACCTGGTTTTGAACTCTGGTTTAAAAATACATATAAGGATGCATCACATCAGCAAGGAATTTATCAATACCAGAAAATACTACTGATTGATATCCTGCACGTGTAATCTAGATGCTGAGTGGGAATGATGGGAGTTGTAGCTCAATTTATTCAACAGCTCTGAGTCTGAATTGAGTGAGATATAATTAACATCAAATATTTTTAGTGTGCAAAGACTTTAAATTCTTTATATTAATTATTAAAGAATGTACTATAAATAGCAACATGTCAATTTGTTTTTCAAATAGGCATCTGAATTGATAATTATCTGCCCAAATCCAATATTGAAGCATGATTAAGACAGAACTTAAATTGAACTCAACTTATTGAATAAATTGAAAAGTAAGTAAGCATGCAAGTAAGCATATAAAGAGTATATATCAAAGTATAATACTTGTTAGATCCCCACTAACCACATTGCTCATCCTTTCTTGAATTCTCAAGTGCACATTTATGCCTACAATAGTTTCACAAACGATATTTTAGATATTCCGGCATCTTTGTAGGTAAGAATAAGAATCTTCAATTGTGGCTAAAAAAAAAAAGCAATTAAAAGAGTTGTTGCAAAGCTAATATACACTGATCAAACAGCATTAACAACTAAACTAGCTATTATTTTGTATTAGCTATAGATTAAACATTTTTTAAAGCAGCCCAATACATAGTATAGTCACAGTGCAACAATCTAAACAGACTTTATGGTGGTCAAATTTGCCTTCTGTAGAAAGATACATAGAAATCATGATTTGCTCTTTAAAAGCAGAAGGAGAATGTAGATATGACATATGGGAACTTGCAGAGTCTTTGCAATATCTTCCCTCCCTCATTTCTAGCCATTAAAATATACTGCCAGACATCTGCTGCTCTGTCTAAGAATGTTAGCTGGTAGAAAAGTCTAAGGAACGGGGGCTTCCGGTTTTGATATTGCGGTGAAGCAGACGCAGGAAGATGGGACTCCATCTTTTGCGTTTGATTTCGCCCTGCTGGGGAACCCTGGAAAGGGTTGAAAGTCGCCCCATAGAGGCGGCAAGCAAGAATGGAATCCTCATTGATCGCAGAGGGGCAGCAGCCCTCCTGTTTGATCCGAGGAAGCCCTCCAAACCGGCAGGGGAAAGACTGGCTACATTCGTGTAGCCAGTCCAAAGCTGCTGACAACGGAAGACGAAAAGCACTATCAAGCAATCTTACAGCAACGTGGATGAAACTGGGTGAGACCTGATCCTCTCTTTATGATTTTAAGACCTCTTCCTGAAAATCTGCCCAAAGCACTCTCCCCGATGAGAGAGGGAAAGGAATTTCCGCCCCATTCCCTTAAAAAAGAAAAGCAGTGAATTAATTATTTGTGGAAAATGGAGAAACCTATAAGACTAATTTGGAATATATATTCTGAATATATGTGTGTGTGTGTATGTATGTATGTATGTATGTATGTATGTATGTATGTATATATATATATATGTATGTGTATGTATGTGTGTATATATACACATACATACACACACACACACACACACACACACACATACATACATTGGTAATAACATTAAAAATGTGAACCCTGGGTATATCCATATTTGAAAAAAAGAAATCTGAATTTGTAATGTATCGCAGTTGCGACTTGAGCCTGCTTAATGCCCCTAGTTGGGGGGCTGCAAGGCAAAAGAGATTATATATATAAAAAAAGTAGAACTGCAATATAGCAGTCAAAATGCCAAGGTGTAATCAATCAGACTGGTCTGTCTGAAAAACTTTCTGTTTATATATTTTCAGCTATGCAAGTAAAAATATGACTCTACCATATATTCATAACGTGTCCGAAGCCACAGCCAGACTGCTGGCCCCCCATGGCATAAGAGTGGCACATAAACCTGACCAGACTCTGCGATCAAAGATCATGCGCCCCAAAGATCCCCTTCCCACCGCAGAAAGGTCTGCGGTGGTTTATAAAATTGATTGCATGGGTTGCCACAGCAATTATGTAGGGGAAACATCAAAAAGGCTGAAGACCTGCCTACATGAACATAAGTTGGCAATTAAGAGGGGCGAGCAATACTCGCAGATCTGGTCACATATGGCCGAAAGTGGCCATAACTTTGATTTTGACCACACACAAATCTTGGCCTGTGATGCCACAAAGGGGGGCCGCCTATTAAAGGAGGCCTGGTTTTCGGGAGAAAATTCCATTAATCGCCATATAGACATGTGCCCGGCACAACGGACCTTATAAACATGGCACATGAACCGTTGCTTGAACAGCTGGAGAAGACCTAGGCATCGACCACATGTGTGGGAGAAGAATAGGACATCCCCCCACACACAACACGACCAAATGGACATTCCCTTGGCTTCAGACCAAGATGGTAGAACTTTGAAAAATCCCCCACAAATGACAAACAGCCACCAGAAACCTGACTGTCAATTATGGAACAACTTCCCGATGAACGGAGCGAGTGGAGGTGCTTTGACAACTGAAGTGCAGCAGGAAAGAGAGAGCGAGGCCCTCCCAATCGGTTCAATAGGAGAAATACGAACGGAGATAACAACTGTGGGGGGAGGAATAGGAAATACAGCATACGATAGAGCGCTCGGACTACAATCACACATGCCGGGGGGGGGGATGATTTACCCCCCAGGGAGTGAAACAGACACCCTCGTTACGCTAGTTGGGCTGGTTTGTGAGAGGGAGGGGAATAGCTCTGTGGTGATTGATCCCTTGGGAGGACAGAAGACTACGAACGGAGCGTGCCTGGGAGATTCTCTGATGAGGGATGAGGGCAGAAGCCCCAAATGGAGTGAGCAACAGATTGACCGGTTACGAGCTAGGCAATGCCTTACTGACAGGCACACACTCCAGAACGACTCCTCCCAAGAATATAGGGAGGAGAGTGATGATAGATCTAAGGGAGTGATGGAGAGGAACAGGAGGGAGAGCGGTGCAGGATGGGATGGCACACGGGGGCTACGATCTGAGAGAAAAGGAGGATTGGAATGTGGCTCGGAGGGGATGGTTGGAGGAACTAGAAGGAAGCAGAAAACAGCAAATACTGCCCATGACAGACAGAATCACAAACGGGAAACTAGTGAAACATGTACTAACTGCAAGGAAAGGGGAAACACCCCAGCTAATTTTAGAACTAGCGAGAAAGACACACGTAACAGCACACGTAGAAAGGGTGAGAAACAACTACACCCTAATGCAGGACACACACTTGGATTACAATGCACACAGCTGGGACCTATGACACGATCCAAGAGCCGAGCGCAAATGATTGGAGGCTGCATATAAGCCCTCCCAACGACTGCCGTTTACACCCTGATGATGTCAAGAGCTCTTGACAAAAGCTAGGTTTAGTAAATAAAAGTTTTAACATTTTTAACTTTTGTATAATTTTATTCTCTTGGTGTGCAACTATTTATTGATTTTAATTTATATATATATATATATATATATATATATATATATATATATATATATATATGTGTGTGTGTGTGTGTGTGTGTGTGTGTGTGTGTGTGTGTGTGTGTTTGTTTTCTGAGGTTTTCGCGGGTGTTTGTATGTAGGTCTTTGGTTGTTCGGGTTTTCTCCAGCGTAAAATTGGAAGTGTCTTGGCGACGTTTCGACGAAGTCCCATTCGTCATCTTCAGGCTGGTGTTTTCAGCTTCGTGCTTCGTGCTCGAATATATATATATATATATTAACTAAGTTAGAAAGAAAAACGAACACTAGGATATAATAAACCAGACTGTTTAATGTAAACAAACCTGTGGTTAAAAAGAGCCACTAAGCTTTCATCAGCCAAACTGCCGACGTCGTCAGAGTTGGAGTAAAAGGAGATCTGGGAGCCAGCTCATATAACCTCCTGCCTCTGTGCTTAGCTATTTGAGCGCATCATCGGCCCATTGATTGTACTCATCCATATGGTGGTGAGTTGTTCCGCATCTGGCAACCTGTCCTTGGCCCCGCTAGTTGTTTTACGATCCTCAAGTGCTCTTCTGGCGCATGTGCAAGCGCCTGGAGGGTGGCTGTCAACATGTCCCTGTGCCTGGTCTCCCTCCCCTCCCATTCTGGGGGGATCTTGAGTGTTGTATCTCACGCTGCGATTCAGGCCCACTGTCGGGCTATTATCCTCCCCCACCCTTAGGCCGTTGTCATCCCGCCCGTAACTCCCCTGCCCCAATCCTGCAAAGAGCGGCTGTTCCAGCATTTCTGCTCTCTGTCTTCCCCCTCCCTCCCCCTCCTTCCAGATTGCCTCTGCGCGTCCATCCCCGGCTTACAGCTGTGGCGCGCCGTTGGTCCATCATCTCCTCCCATGAGAGTTGTGGCCGCCTCACCTGTAGAGCTATCGCTCAAATCGTGCAAAGAGCTGTCCCATTGTTTCGATCTCTTTCTAAGCCATATATATATAACTTGAAGCACGAAGCTGAAAGCACCAGCCTGAAGATGACGAATGGGACTTCGTCGAAACGTCGCCAAGACACTTCCAATTTTACGCGGGAGAAAACCCGAACAACCAAAGACCTACATACAAATACCCACGAAGAATTATTTGATGATGCAAATGCACTGACTTGGAAAATTAGTTGGCAAAGGAAGAAAGCTAGAGTAAGATTGAAGGAAACAGAAGCTTTGACCTATTAGAGGGGTTGCTATATTACCAATTAAATGTTTGAATATGGTTAAGAATAGATTGCTAGAAATAGAAGTATTAGTATAACTAGATAAACAGGATTTATAATCAGAATATCATATCTTGGTATGAAAAGGGAAATAAGAATATGCTAAGAACTTTGAATAAGGGAAGATTTTAGTTACCCAAATATAACTTTTTTTGACATTATAAATGATTGGGATACTTTGAACATGGATGGGAAATTAAAATAAGCGAAAATAGGATATGGACTAAAAAAATGGAAATTGAGTGCAAGAGCAATTAATATATGCTTTGGTTAGAAAAGATATTCTAAATTGATATTATTGACACTATTAGAAAAATGTAACAAATGTTGATATGCAATTGTATATTTACTAACAACAATAAGAAATGTATTTGCTTAGTGTGGAAAAATGGTTATTACCAGAAGAAGAGACTACATACTGGAGGATGTAATATCGTACTTAGTTTGAAAAGGATATGAAATTCCATCCAAAATAGTAATAGCTCCAAAAGTCATTTAATGACTATACTGCCCTGATTTGGTTTCCCCAGATGAAGACTCGGTTTAATAATTCACACATTGCATCCCACATTCAAAACTTTCAGAGCATACATGGCACCAACTGAAAAAATACTGAGCTGGGGATCATCACTATAGTGATGATATTCATTTCTTCATTGGCTTTCTACCAAACAAGTTAGAAGTAGGTCAGAATGTGACACTTCAAACCCACATTCCTAATGTCTAGTTAGCCCAGATTCCAAACTGAGATAGGTTGTTTCCTGCATACCATTTCATCCCATCAAATACAGCAATGATTATAACAGGCAAAGGAAATGGCAATTAGTAACATAATTGGACATTACTTCATTTCTTGTGTCTTTCATTGCATAAAGTTGTGTTAGCGATCAGAGTATCGCCTCTTCTACTGGCACTACAACAAGAGATTCCTGGCATATTGGGGGGGAAAGAATAAAACTAAAGCACAAAATTAGATGAGAATACTCTTAACAGGGTGGAGGTCCTTTAATAGCTGTGATATGGGAATACATCATAATATCCCACTTCCTTCGCTTTTTCTGTATATTACTGAGAGCGAAGGAATAAAAACTATGCATTTGGAAAAGAATTACATGCAGGCCACAGCTTTTTATTCTTCTAAAGCACTATATGTGGTCCCTCCATCTCTTAAGCTGCTCATGAAATCCAATCTTAGCTTTAATAATATAGTATAGCTTTCCATGAGGTGGTCAAAATTTTTTCCAGCCAACTAATGAAGAAGTGGAGGTTTTTAAGAAAAGACTGGACAACCATTTGTCTGAAAATCTAGAGGATTTCTTACTTGAGCGGGGGACTAGCAAACCCCAAGGTCCCTTCCAATTGTGTTATTCTGTTATATAGTATAAAATCACCTTGTTTCCATACTTTTGCCTACCGATTTTTAATTAAAGTAACCACCTCTCTTAGCAATTTAAAAGTTCAATGAAAGGGCAACTAGGCACCTTGGCTCCTGCCATTAAGTATTTTAACAAGAGCAATAAAATTGTGTCAAAGCTTCATAAGGTCAGTAGGGAAGGAGGAGAACTAAAAAGGTGAGTGAACTAAGAGTTTCTGAATGGCTTACTATATCCATGCCACTTACATTCCTTCTAATCCCTCTCTACAACTGGAAAATAAAAATAGATCTGTCCACTTCAATGTTGTCAACTTGCTGCTACACCCTTGTGTCCCTTTTAGTCTTCAGAAACCCAAATCTGTGTCCCCTTTAGTTATAAAATCGTTGCCCATATCTGATATAGGTAAAAACAAATATATAGCTTTCATATATATGGAAGCAGTTAAAAAAAGCAAAGAAAGGCAGTTAGTGACTGCCTTGTTTAGCAAATGTTCACAATTATGACAGTGATATATCTTTGCAACTATTCCTTGAATTTACGACCTTTGCAGGTCTGTAAAACAAAGGAAAGAAAGATCATAAGCACAGTCACAGATCAGTTAGCAACCATTTTGCTTAATAACTGAGTTGTCATAATTAAACAAGGACTACAATACTGTATTTTTAGAAGGCTGCGGATTCTGTCCTGCGTTACAATAGACATGTAAGATGCTGGCTCAAAGGAAATAAACTGAACAATGTGCAATGAAGGAACATAGTTCTTCTAATTCCCAACAAAAGGAACTATTAACTAGGACTTTGCCAAAGCATACAGCATAAATTACAATTGTTACTCCTCAATAATTAATACAGTTGATTATTTTCCTACTTTTAATTAATTTTCTCTACCGCTTTGAGTTTATTATTTATATTCTTCTGTGAAATTCCATAGTGAAAAGAATGTATACATAAAGATAGAAGAGGGAGGTGGTCTAAAAGATACATTTTAAAATACTAAAGTAATGAAAGAAATGTGATTTTTCCAAAAGACAATGTCCATTATTTTATGAACAGGCTTAGCTATAATCTAGGAACTAGTAATTCATTTCACCTGATAAAGTATGATCATAGAACAGTTATATTAGCTGGACATGAAAATTAAGCCAAAATAGATTTCACATGCCACAAAATACTCACTGTCTGATCTTGTCATTTTGGGATCCGAACTTTGGCCCTGATGGTCCTCTCCTACAAAATAATTTAAAAAGTTAAATTGTTACCTTTATCTTCCAAGATGAGTGGCAAATCTTAGGGCTGATTAACAAACAGATGTTTGAAATCTGAAAGCATTATACATGCAGAAGAAACAGCCCACTTCTGGAATCTATGTAAAAACATCTAGCAGACTCATACACTGAAGAGTTTGTAGTAGCTATTACTGACAAACAACCACAGTAAGTTGTACAATACTTTGCCTAGTATTTATAAGGAATCCTTGAGATCAAAGCATGTAGAACAGGCAGAGACAGTAGTGCACAGGATCTAGGATTCAATAGTTATCCCTACTCTGTTTTGGAGACACTCACAAGAAAAAGTCCTCTTCTTCATCTGAATCTTCCTCTAGGAGGTTTCTCTGCAAACACAGAAAATTGATACATCTATGAAAAAGAATATTTCTACTAATTGGTATTTTCATTCAAAAAGAAATTTCAAAAGAGTGTTTCTAGACTGAGTCATTAATCAATACAACTTCTGTCAGAATGTAATGCCATTGACACAATATATGGCAGCAGTCCCCAACCTTTTTGGTAACTGGGACCGGCTTCATGGAAAATCATTTTTCCATGGACCGGCCGGGAAGGGGGGGGAGTACACAATCTAGATCCCTCACATATGCAGTTTACGGTAGGGTTTGTGCTCCTATGAGAATGTTTTTTTAAAAAAATATATTTTATTAGATTTTATATGGGTAGGGAAAAGATAGGGTTGGTGCGGGTACAGGAAAATCGGGATAAAAGGGACAGGGTGTGGATAACTACAGTAAATACGTAATTCAGCGAACAAGCTGTCGTCTGGGTCTTCATATTAAGTATTATTGTTAATATAATACTAGACATTTCTAAGAATAAATCGATATAGTTACAACTGACATTTGGTAAAAGACTAATATTCCTTTAAGTAATTAACATAGTTAATAGCATAACAACTATTTCCAATCATCAACCTTAATACTTAATATAGTAAAACTCTAAAATCTCTTCTTATTCTAACATGTTTCAACCCACTGATAAAATTTTCCCCAGGTTTTATAAAAGATTGAATCTTCTTTCTCCTTCATCTCTAACGTTAATCTGTCCATTTCTGCACAATCTAGGATTTTCAAAATTATAATCTGGTCTGATGGTAGGTTTTCCTTTTTCCAAAATTGGGCAAATACTATTCTTGCAGATTCTCCTATGAGAATCTAATGCCTAATGAACTGAGGTGGAGCTGAGGTGAGGATGCTTGTGCTAGGGAGCAGCTACAAATAAATGAAACTTCGCTCCCTCACCTGCTATTCACCTTCAGTTATGCAGTCGAGTTCCTAACAGGCCATGGACCTATATTGGTCCATGGGCTGGGGATCACTGATATATTGTATCAGATATCCACAGACAATACAAGACAGAATCATTAGGTCTTCCTTTTGAATAAATCATATATACTTGTGAATAAGTCCATCTACACATAAGCCAACTTTCACATTTTTAATCAGAATGCCATGAAAAATGTGTCACCATGGAGAAGGTGACTGCATTTTTCATGGTATTTTGGTTAAAAATCTGAGGGCTTATATATTTGTGGATGGACTTATGAACATGTATGGGAAATGTGTGTACTTTTAAAAACTATTACTGTATATACACCTGTTGATAAGTGCATTCACATATAAGACAAATGCAATTTTTTGGATGTATGTTGGCACCTAAAATCTTGGTTTATTTGCAAGTGTATTTGGTGCTCTGAAAAATTGCTTTGAAAGGTAAAAATAATTAAGAATGCCAATCTTAGTTTTGTCAAATACCTGACATAGTTTTGTTTTTGAGATTTAAAATAATAGTTTCATTGCTTTTGCTTAATATTTCTAGTTAGTTTTACCAGAATTTCAATCTTTTCCATGATCTTAAAAAAAAAGAGATTCCTTGGATGAGGGGGGAACTATCAACAATTATCTCTATCTAACTGTACAAATATATAAAATTCCCCTAATACCGTCTCATATTAAAGTGAAGACTGGTTTCATCATTCAACCAGTGGAGGATTGAATGGACCCTGCAAGTCATGTGCCAATAAGATCACAAATACAGAATAGTATTGATCTGAGTTCCAACAATTTGAAAAACAACAGCTGCATATAGTAGAGTTTACTTTTTCCCTTCATTCCCCTTCTCAGTTGCTGGATAGTGAATGCTAAGGGGCTATAGTGGACTATACTTGGCAAATCACTACTTTAGACTTTTAACAGATCCTGCTATTCTTTTGAAAAGTTCAGACCAATTTAGGTAGCAATACTATCCTATGTATTAAAAAACTAGAGATGGAGATCTGTAGACCCTTCAGATCTTCTTGTAAGGAATGAGGGATTTCTGTATCCCTCATTATTGATAGTTCAGTAACATCTTGAAAACCACAGGTTCATCAGTTCTGAATTTGCCCTAACTCCTGCCCACCTAGAAGTTTGAAACAATGGAAATGCAAGTAGATAAATAGGTACCACTTCAGTGGGAAGGTAACAGGGACACGAAAAGAGCTCCCTCGGGTATCATCTTGGCAATGGTGACGTCCCTGGCTAATCCTTTCAATTTAGAAGCACCTTGGTAGATGCTTGTGACAAGAATGTAGTAGTAGTATCAGTTCTGAACTTGATAAAGAGCTGCTTTCTTTAAATATTATACAACTCCTAGAAATTATTTCCGAGAATCTTATAAATGCATTATTACAGCCATTTCACCAGCAGATCACACATTTAAATCATACCAAGATAACTATCCCTTATACACTCACCCTCTCACTTTTGACTGACCCAGTAACATCATCGTCATTGAGGTGGCGCTTGAATTTTGGAGGCATGTTTTCATACCAGTGCTATTTTTTGTCCTAGTAGAAAAAAAAGACATTCTAATCATTCTGTCAGGTTTTAATTCTCAAATTGTAAGAATTTAAAGACTGGCTACAATGATGCCTGCATAACACTGCAAATACAAATTATTACATGAAAACAACATGAGTTCTGGGAATTTCCAGTATAAGAGTGAAGATTTGTTCTCCGAGCTTGTGAGTTGGTTTCTGAAAGTTTCATTACCAGGCTAAGTAACATCTTCAGTGGATATCAGTATTCTTCTGTTTATAAGAAGAAAGAAACTATGTTTCCAGTATAGTTTGAAGTACCATTTTATAATTTATGAATAGATTATTTTATTTTTAAACTATTGCAAATATTGTTCAAATCAAGGATTAAGTTTAAATTGTAAAATATATCCCTCTTCTAACTATATGATATTAATTCAATCCCCATTAGTTCCTAAAGCCTTTTACACATGAAAGGATTTTAAAATGTCATGGTTATTGGTTCTGGTCGCATGAATGGAAAAGATGTAAATGTTATTTTAAAATAATTTCTTCTATCCCCATTAATATGCAATTTTTAAATCAGTAACACTTTCAAAGGTCTGGCTAGAAAAAAAAGTTGGCTTTCTATACACTGTTTAAAGGGAAAGGAAAATCTTTTCAATCTACCATTACTTCCAGCTATGCTTTTGTACATCCAGTTAACAACTTGAGCTAGGATTATTTTTTAATCAGATCATTATTTTTGAAATTTGAAATCAGATGCTTTAAGGAAATCTACAAAGCCTTAAAGTAATGCTTTTCCTACCAATACTACTCAGCACCTTGTGTGCAGAATATGCCTTTGATCTATTTCAAGTGTCACCCAAAACACCAATGATACATCAAAATACTACTTGCAAAATATAAAATATCATGAACCATTACATTATTACCATCTACAATGCCTTGAATACTTAAATAGATTCGGCAAAAAGACTGTACTGTAATTTGCTCAATAACAGATACTTCAGCATTGAAAAGAATGTTAAAATATATGGTATGCTTTTGTGACCTACAGTGGCTAGACGGAGGGAGATTTAAGGACAAATCCATTTTTCAATCTGAAGCTTAAATAGCTTCAGGAATTCCATCTTCCTTAATTTGCATTACCAACATGGAATGTAGCCTTACTGCTTCTGCCCAATCTTTACACATAGTTCTATCATTCTTCTCTACACAAGTGTAGACGAGTTCCTATGTCTTTTAAATACATTTCTTTTAACAATTATTTATCTAGCTTCCTTTCCCCTCCCCTCAAGCTTACAGTGTCCCATCTAGAGGACTGTTAAATAAAATAAAACGACTGCTCCTCTAAAACTCCTTGTCTTCATCTCCCACTCGCGCGGTCTTCTTCTCCGGGAGTCTTAATTCTCCAGCTGTCCATCCCGCTCTTCCATAAGCCCTCACATGAGATACTCGTCCTCTCCGGACTGCGCAGTAGCCTGTCAGTTTCTTTCCCTATTGGCCATTTCACCATTCCTGCCTCGCCCCCGGGATACTTGCTTTCTCTCCTCCCGAAGGGATCTTCGGCTTCCTCCCGGATCCAGTTTCCCACGAGCCAGCGCCCACCAAACTCGAGGGCCTTCTCTTATCATCCACCCCCTCCCTCTCTCCCCGCGCGCCTTTATTTATTCCCTCGCTCACCTGTTTCCCTTTCAGGCCGGTGCGGAAATGGCCGGTCCGAGGAAGAAGAGGAGTTGTCGTCAGCTGTTGCTCCATCGATCGCTCGGCGCGCCTACTAAGGGGTGGAGCCGAGGGTCCGGGATATCGAGGCAGCGCGACGGCCGCCCTAGTGACGTGAACCCTCTCGGCTACCGTAGTAGCGATTCTCGCCTGGTAGGCGGCGGCGAAGCAGCTATTAGATTGAAGAAAGCGGAGTGGACGGTCGAGGATAGCGGAGTTGGGATCTCAAAGAGTGACTTTCCTTTAGCCTGTAGTCCTCCTCCTGACCAATTGAAAAAGCCGTGCGTGGTACAGATGTGTTAAGGGTAAATGGGTTTACTAATCGCATAAGCCTGGTTTGTTGAACTCGCCATAATTGACTTGATTCACGCGATGTTTTAGAACTGTATTTCTACAGTCGCTGCATTCAGAGAATGTGGTAACTCAAAACTACACAATATATTGTGATGTAGTGCAGTATATGAATCAGGTATGTGGTTTCACTTGTATACCGACGAGTAGTTACTGGTTTGAGCCCATGAATGTAGAAGACATAAAAATAAATAAAATAGCTCTGCTATCCCTTTGTGTACTTTTTACTTTGCCTCAGTTTTTAATAGTTTTTGATTTTTTAATTGTTAATAACTTGTAAGCTGCCCAGTCACTTGTTCTATGAGATGGGCAGTTTGCAGCATTATGATAACTGAATTTTTGGGGGGGAGGGGGGAAACGGAATATTACATAAGTGTTTAAAAAATCATCTGGAATTCGTCTTTTATCCTAAATGAAAATCTTAATATTTCACCACAAATTTCAGGAACAGAAAGACAACACACACAATCTTTTTTAAAATGAGGTTTATTGATCATGATTTGTACAGGCAGAAAGACCCTTAGATTTTAATTTCAATTATATATATATATATATATAAAAACATTTCACAGATCCAGACAGTTTAACTAGAAGAAGATAGGGTCTCTGCTGGGTTGTGGTGTTGAACAAAATAGGCAGACAGCTCTTTCAAAGCTTTGTAACGATGAGAGAGAGAGTTCTTCACATACTTGGGCAATTCAGCATATCTGCAAAAGACAACCTGGAACTTCACCATGAGAAACTGCAAAGCCTACTCATCTAGAGCAGGTGATATTATAAATGCATTAATTAAATTTACTCTCTATTTCTTGGCTTAAATGTTGATTCCTAAGCTAAGGAACAATTTGATCAAATCCTCTTCTTAGGAGATACGGGAATTGCCAATTGAACACCTGTACTAAATCTATTATTAAATAGAATAGAATAATAGAACAATCCAAATGCTTGCTGACAAATACATTCATAAAAATTGGTATTTTGTAGAACAGAATTTGCACATTTCTTAATACTTGAATGTACAACAGTGACTGGGTAGTTTTACCGACCCATTATAACTAAGGAGAATATATTCCCTTACGTCTCAGTGTAGCCTTCTGGCTGGAAGCAAGGATCCCATCCAAAATCTCGAGGTCCTCTTGGTTCAACGATATGCCCCTATAGGGAAAAGAGACGTTTAATGTTGACTTTTCAGAGTTAGCCCTTACATAAAACATACAATTCTAAAGGAGCTGGCAGATGTTATCTCAGAATTATATCTTTCAAGATCCTAGACCACCAGGATACCACCAGAGGACTGGAAAAGAGCTGATGTGGTTCCCATCTTCAAAAAACGAAAAACAATGGATCCAGAAACTACAGACCTATCAGCTGACATCAATATCTGGGAAGATTCTAGAAAAGATAAGCAATGAGTTTGTGAACACTTAGAGGCAAGCAAAATCATGACATACATGGTTTTGTCAAAAACAGATGTCGGACAAATTCTACGATAAAGTGACTAAGTGAGTGGACCAGCAAAATGCTGTGGACGTAATTTACTTGGATTTCAGTGAGGCATTTGATAAAGCAGACCACAACTTACTACTAGATTAAGATAGACAAATGTGAATTAGACAGCATTATCACCAGATGGATTAGTAACTGGCTTGACCAGCCGCACTCAATGTATAGTCCTTAATGGAACTGCATCTACATGGAGGGAAGTATTTAGCGGGGTACCCCAAGGTTCTGTCTTAGGCCCAGTACTCTTCAATATCTTCATTAAAAAAATAGATGAGGGAATAGAAGGGGATCTTATCAAATTTACATAGCAGGAATAGCCACTACTCTAAAAGTTACTGGGTCAAGATACATAAGAGTCTCAACAGACTTGAACAGTGGGCCCTGTCTAACAAAATGAAATTCAATGTAGAGAAAAATAAGGTTTTAGACTTAGGCAACAAAAATCAAATTTACAGGTACAGATTAGGTGAAATCTGGCCCAATAGCAGTAACTGTGAAAGGGATCTTGGAATCCTAGTGGACAATCACTTAAACATAAGCCAGTAGTGTGTAGCAGCAGCTAAGAAAGCCAACACAATCCTAGGTTGCATTAACAGGGATAGAATCAAGATTACATGAAGTATTTTATAAACAATACCTATTTATAAAGCCTTAGTAAGATTACACTTAGAATACTGCATCCAGTTTTGGTCACGATATTATAAGATGTAGAGACTCTGGAAAGAGTGCAGAAAAGAGCAACAAAGATGATTAGGGGGGTGGAGGCTTAAACATGAAGAACAGTTGCAGGAATTGGGTTTGTCTAGTGCAGTGGTGGCGAACCTATGGCACGGGTGCCAGAGGCGGCACTCAGAGCCCTCTGTGGGCATGCATGCCGTCGCCCCAGCCCCGCCACCCCATGGCCCCCTCACCAGCAGCCCTCCTGGAGGAGAGTCGCCCCGGGTGCAGCCTGCACAGAGCAGCACAGCCAAGGACATGACAGCTGGGCAGCAGAGACAAGACTCCGCCCTTGTGCCCCATCGCGTACAGATGCTGCGGGGTGCAGACAGAGGGCGTGGCCATGATATTGCTGGGCCGCCATGGCGATCTGTGGCGGGCCGTGGAGGTGATGGGTGGCCCTGTGGTCAGACGGGGGGACGGGCGAGGCAGTTTTAGGGCACTCGGTCTCTAAAAGGTTCACCATCACTGGTCTAGTGAAAAGAAGGACTAGGGGTGAGATGACAGCATGGTTCCAATATTTCAGGGGCTGCCACAAAGAAGAGGGGGTCAACTTTTCCAGAGCATCTGAAGGTAGACCAAGAAGAAATAGATGGAAACTAACTAAGAAGAGAACCAACTTAGAAATAAGGAGAAATTTCCTGACAGAACAATTAACTAAAAATTAATTAAAAAGTCTTTTCCTATGGATTAGGCTACAAAATTCAAACCAGCAAAAGAAGAAACCTGACAAGAAATCAGCCAACAGCTTAATATTTCTTAAGCCATTAAATGATATGTAGCAGGATGTGAACACTAGTCCACAGGAACAGGTTAATCAGTTCAGCATCCATAGCCCCTATGTGGCTCTCTACACCCTATCTATGACTGTTCAGAAGTGTAAGATGCATGGCTACAATTCAACAGCAAAAGCAGCCATTCTAGCAGGGAGAGTTTTGTTCCTTTTCAACTATTAAGCTGTTTCTGCAAAACTTAAACAAACCCAGCAACCCTGCCAAAAAACTGGCAAATTGGGGAAATGCATTTTTCATTTAAACCCTTTTTGCAACATTGTCAGATAGCCTTTGCAGCAATTCAGGAGTTTGACCTAGTAGAAGTTACCTACTCCAACCCTAAAATGAGAATATACAATATTAAACCTGAACGGAGAGGATCACTCCAGATTATACCATTACCCTTCATTTCCAACTCAACTCAGAAATGTTGAATGTGCAGCTACTGTTATCAAGCAATGATAACTCTGTTCACCCATCCTAGTAGAAATACCCTCACAACTAAGCAGGCAGCTGCATGGAGTGACAATCGTTAAACAACTGAATTGGAAACCAGGAAGCTCCATTGCAGGACTGTTGAGATAGGAATTAGAAACAAAAAGCTCCATAACAGACACTGCTGTTAATGTACATAGAAATATATCCCACCACTATCAGTCACATTACTCCTATACAGTAAACCAACCAACTTATTTTCCCTCATTCCTTCCCACCTACCTACCTGTACTGTTTTATATTTATCATATAATAAATTTAGTTACTTCTCCCTGTATGCAATAGCACCAGCCTACTTTTGGACACTACTCAAGAAATGAGATAACATTGTTGAAGCACTTGAACTATGTTTAAGATGTTATGTATGAATGCTGAAAGTGACAGTTATTATGCTAAGAAAAGAAAATACTAACAGTTCAGTTCCTCAGGTCTTTACTAACACAGATAACCCAATATTGTCATACGCACTTGAGTTTGGCCTTTGAATAACTTTACAGGATCATTTGGATTTCCAGTGCTGAAAGCAAAGGTGCACAGAGCGTAAGCAGATTTATCTTCAAATCCTGCTAACAGTTTGTAGAGACCTAAGCAATAAGAAAAAATATTATGATTTCTTCTTCAGTAAATTTTGCTTGACAGAAGGGAAGCTGTGTGGGATATAAAATGGCAGTTCACATATTTTGGAATTTGAGCAGCTATCCTTATGTCTAAACCATATATATCAAAAAAGAACCAATAGGACCATTAGCCTTTCTATTAATCTAGGACAAAATGCAGTTAAACATTTAATGAATTATTTTCTGTTCCTGTATATGTACTTGTGGCAGAAGAAATATTTTTACATATATCTAAATAGATGATGTCAATGTAATTCAGGGTTATGAAGGTTAAATCAGATCTAAGATATAGAACATTAGGACCAATTCTGCCAAATAGATACTTTACTATGAAATCAGATTAAACACTTAAAGCCTTTTTAGTACTTTACAAGTTCTAGCTTTCTACTGGAAAATACCATTTAAAGCAGAATGGAATAGGACAGAAAGGATCTGCAAATACAAACCAAGAAGGGAGGATGGAAGAATGGTAGCACATACAACACTGAAAAGTAAAATCAGCAGGAATAAAAGCATCTTACTTTAGAATGGAAGTAAAAAGAAACGTACAATTGAGTACATAATCAATATGGGTTATGACAAGGCCAGTGGTGGCAAAACAGCATTGTTCGACATTTGAGTAATGCAGACTAGTTAAGGAAGCAGCTCAATCCCAGAAACAAGTTTATGTGAAAAAAAAGATTGAATTACCTTCCGGCTTTAGCTTTTCTAGGAACCATTTTCTGAAACACAAATTCAAGCACAAATCTTATTTTCACTATCACAAGAATAATAAAAACACCTGAACATTATTCAACAAGCAAGGCCAAACCAAAATTATTTGTAAAATAAATAAGTTACCAAATATTTAATCCAAATAATAGCTAGATTTTTGTACAAGAGTTTCAGGAAAATGTGCAGTTCAAAGTAGAACTATTAAAATCTCATAAAACTAATGAACAGAAATAAAAGAATAAGTAAAATCCAGCAAAGATATAAAAATTAACAGTGAAAACATCGGTGTTGAGCTGGCAAATTCTTGTTCAGCAAAACTGATACAGTAATGGCATGCTTGCATTTTATTGTCTGCCTTACCAGAAATACAAGAAATCAAAACATAAATGCTTCCGTAACAATAGTTTATAGTGGATTCCTCTTCTCTTCTTGCATCACAATAGGAACTAAAACAAAATGCAAGCATTTCTTGTTTAATAGTCCAGCTGGATTAGGCCAAAGATCATCCAGTTCAAGATTCTATGCCATACTTTGGCCAATGGGATTCAATTTCAATACTCACAAGCCTCGGTGGTGGATGACAGTCACTTCTCAGTAACCAACATTTAATCTATGTTGCCCATGATTCAGTAGGTGTAAATAGTCATCAGTATTAGGAAGGATTGATATTCTTATCTTCCATGAAACTGCCTATTCCTTTTTAAAACTATCCAGTGGCGGCCATTAATACAACAGTTGGCAACAACCACTGCAGTTTAACTATGTGTTGCATACAAAGGCATTTTCTTCTCTCAGTATTGAATTTTCCTACATTTAATTTCATTGGATGACCTCAGATTTTAATAGGGTGAGGAGAAAAACACTGATCTATCCATACCATCTATATTATGCATTGTTTATATACTCTTTCCTCACAGGAAAATAATTGTGATTTCCTTTTTTTCATCTTTCCAAATTTTGTCATTTTTGTCCTGATTCTTGGCAATTGCTTGGACAAGTCTTCGTGATTTCCTGGCAAGGTATTTTTTAGAAGATATTTTCCATGGTGTTCTTCCAAGAGCAGGGGTCTTCAAACTTGGCCCTTTTATGACTTGTGGACTTCAACTCCCAGAATTCCTTAGCCAGGCATGCTGGCTGAGAAATTCTGGGAGTTGGAGTCCACAAGTCATAAAAGGGCCAAGTTTGAAGACCCCTCTCCTAGAGTTTAGAAAGAAGCTAACATCACCTAACTAGCTTTGGGCCCAAGGTAGAAATAGAACTCATGCTTTTCCAGTTTCTAGCCTAGTGCCTTTACTCCTATACCAAACTGAGTCTCTAATGTTGTAATACCTGTTTTAAAATGTGATGTCCAGAAATGTTCACAACACTGAACTGTACAGCAGAGGGAGGAGGCTTTCTAATAGTTCTAAGCATCAAAGCATTCAGGAAATAACCAGCACACCTCTGCCTTCTCTGCTTCCTTTTTAAAAGGTATGTAATAGGGATGCAAAAAAGACAATAGCACTTTCAGTCTAGATAATTAAGATAAGCATAAATTCCTTTATGCCTAGTATTCCTTCTCTTCTCACCTGTTTATCTCTAACCTGCAGTATTTTCTTTCCTCCAATTATCAGCTATCCTCTCAGCAAATTTACTCAGCAAATTACTCAGCAACTTACATATATGGCCCTGGGAGGCCTCCAAGAGCAGTGAAACATAAACAGGTATCTTCTACTATAACTGGTCCCTGAATCTGTTAAAGGAAAATAATCAAATAAGAAAAGAGCAATGAAAACCTTCTAAATTAAAGCTCCACATATTGTAAATGAAGTTTTCTAAAAATGTTAGGCAGCTTCCGTCCCAAGTTAATCTCTGCGGCTCTTGACAGAAATAATATAATTTTAAAAAATCGTTGCAGGAATCATGTTAGGAGTGTTAAGAAGAGACTGGAAAGCCACTTGTCTGGAATAGTATAGGGTCTCCTACTTGAGCAGGGGTTGGACTAGAAGACCTCCAAGGTCCCCTCCAACTCTGTCATTATGTTATCCTAGCAGCAAGAGAAATTTCATATTAATCTGCTAAATAGGATTCATAATTATATGTAACTGGAATCTTTGTACTATTTTTTTCCAGTGTTACAATTGCCTTAAATTAAAATGGGCAATTGAGTCATTGGAGTTGTTAAGAGTTACTAAATATAATTATAATATGCCTTATGATAAATATAAAATGCATAATACTCTGCTTATTATTTCTTGTTCATAACAATGTGGAGGGCTTTTTGAAAAAAATATGGAATTTATAACAAACAATAAAAAGAGGAGACAATAGCAGAATATGCACAAGTCAAAAACAGTATAATACAAAGAGCTCATATTGTACTTTTTTGACCCTATAGCCAAACATTAAACATTCTAGAGTCAGATCTGCTTGACCTCTCTATAGAATATACAGCAAAAATTATCTGAGCATAAAGTATAAAATCTCTCCACCTTTCTGAGTTTCTTATTGCCTTAGGTCAGTGATGGCGAACCTTTTAGAGACCGAGTGCCCAAACTGCAACCCAAAACCCACTTATGCATCGTCAAGTGCCGGGTGAGTGTGGCCCATTGGGTGGGTATGGCCCATTGGGTGGGCATGGCTGCGGTGATAACGGCAGACTGGGTGGGACTAAAAAGTTCAATCAATCAATTCCAACTTTCAAGATCATTTTTTTCCTGCGAGTTGAAATTCACTGATTGAACCTTTTTTTTTTTTTTTTTTTTGGCACATGGTGGCCGAGGCCTAAAGCAAAAAGGTTTTATAAAACCCAGCTGAAGGCCTAGGACTGGGGCGACGGTGCGCGTGCCCACAGAGAGGGCTCTGAGTGCCGCCTCTGGCACCCATGTCATAGGTTCGCCACCACTGCCTTAGGTTATGAGCTAAAGAAATATTTCAAAAGTCATGATTAGAACCTGCTTAGCTGCTTCCAGGCACTTCTGGGTAGAAATATCATCAGGCTCCCCTTGGTACTCAGGTACTGCAAAATTTTAAAGAAAAGTGAGGTTAGCGGTGAACAGTAGTTTGCTAAGATACCAGGACAAATGGAAACATGAACTCACAGTCTATTTTCTTGGCAACCAATTTGTATGGAAAAGAGTCACCTAGAATCTGAATCACCTGCAAGATAAAGAGAAGTAATTTTGAATATTAATAAGCTTTCACGTTACATCTCTTAACCATATCTTGGACAATGTGGCAGTACCTTTATTATGATCTATGTTTCCTTGGGAAGCCCAAATGGCACATTTGCTTTTCATATTTCAGAAACTTGTTAAAAAACTTCCTACTTCATTAAGGATTCATCTATACTGGTTATGGGCACTCTTCTATGTATCTATATATCTATTCAATTTATTTTTATGTGGTAGTAGTTTTTTCTGCTTTGCTTTTATTTTCTTCTACACTGTCAAGCATTATTGTTACAAGTATAAGAGACATTTTCTTCTAGGAGTGGTATTTCTGGACTGACAGTTCCTAGTGACCTCAATCAAAAAAGTTTTCCCACCAGATTATTTTTTGGATCGAAGATAATAATAGCTAAATCCATATAATGGATGGCTTAGAGTTAATTTCCACTAGTGTTTGCTAGGGTTGTAAATATTCAGACAACACTAAGTTGGTAGCAAAGAGGTACAGAACTTTTGACTTTTGCAACTCAGGATAGGTAATCCAAGCATTGCAGAATTGTTTTAGCACTGAAGCAATTAATACCCAAATTCTCATAATAAACTCATGTTCTGCCTATTTGTGAGTCTTGGTGGAAGATATGTAGAAATCCCAACTCTTGCAAGAGCTGGCCCATTTATTCGTAAGCGAAAAATTTAAAATGTGTGACCTCTAACTCCCAGAATTCCCCAGAACGCTATCTAGGGAATTCTGGGAACTGAAATTCAGACATCTTAAAGTTGCTGAGGTTTGAGAAACGCTGGCCTGTAAGTATCAAATTCACCATTCGTAGCAATAGAAAAACAGTTAAATGCTAGCCAGTGCCATCACCCATCAGCTTTGTAAACGACGGCGGAAAGCCACGGAAGCCGCTGCCCACCTCCTCCAGTTTCTTAACGTTGCCGGTGACAAACACCACGCTTCGGCCGGCCGCCGGTATCATCGCCATCGGGCTCTGACGCTTGCACACTTACTCAACCAATCCTATCTCCCGAAATCCTCAGGGTTCTCCTTCACAGCCCGGCACTCCCGAAAATAAGCCAGCTTTGACGGTATACGATGAATCACGCTGAAGAAGGGAGGAACCTATTGCAAATTCTGAAATCCATTGGACGGAAGAAGCAATGATGGAAGCCTTAGCCAACCAATGAGCTTTGAACGTAGAGGAAGGACTCGGAGAGGGAAAAAAGTGGGAGGATGAAAACCCCGAAGGCACTTCCGGCGTGTGTTTTGGCTCGTGGGGTCGCCTTCCCGTGGCTTTAGCTATGGATGAGTTGCGGTTGCTGCCAAGACACGCTCGAGACTTCGCTTCGTCGGAATACTGGGACCGATTCTTTCGGAAACGAGGCGAGCGCGCCTTTGAGTGGTATGGAGAGTGGTCAGGAGGACTCGGATCGACTTTGGGACGGTATCTCCGCCTGCGGGACTCGGTGAGACTTGATAAACAGAGAAAAACAGAGTTAAGGGAAAGGAGAGCACGTGGGCATAAACTTTATTCGGTTGAGGCATTCCTTGAGATCAGTGAAATTTGTGTTCGTGCGATACGTTGAAAGGATTTTGATTAATTGAGCTGTAGTTTTCTCAAGCCAACTTTTGGGGTTACGTTCGAATCACTTAAAATATAAATTAGCTACACTGACTTGATGTACATAACAACGCATTAAGCCATTAACTAATCGCCACCTTTTCAGCTAGCTAATAATGTCAAGAGGGCCTCTGCAATTCAGATTGGCCACGATATCTAGGAAAAGGACAAGAACTAATTCTAGTTTTTAAAATCACAGTCCTTTTCCCTGATCAGCTTGGAGGAAAGCAATTCAGATTTTATTCTACTTAAGCATAGGATGGAGAAAAATGTTAATTTTAATTTGTTTGATTTGGTAGCTGACAGATTAATACTAGCAAGGCAGGTTCTGCCCTCAGTTTTACAATATAAAAGATGCAGAATGTAAGAAATCCCAAGCACATATGTATGTGCTACAGAATTCTTACAAATATTGACATCAGAGCCATTTAGGTGAAAACAGTTTTTAAAATTGCAGAACTCTTAGCTGAGCTCTGTTTGATGTTTCTGGCTGCTATAATCCCTTGGATAACTGCAAGGAAAGATATTATTTCTTCTCCACCCACCTTCATTACACCTACATGGACTAAAATGATAAAGAATTAATATATGAGTACATGTTGAGATGTGTTTGAATATTAGTAGCTCAGGTTGATAGTTGGGCTGTTGGTTTGATCTCCGAGCTTGCGATTTGGCTGCAAATGGTTCCTCTCCATTTGGGGAGGGGGATATCTTCAGTGCGCTTAGTATTGTGTTCATCTGTCAGAGCACTGGCGTTTAAATTTCTTTTTGTGTGATGTAAGTGTGAATACATGTATTCCAAAAAAATAATCTTTTGCCTTAAGTCTTTTAAGTTATAAGCCAAGGGGGGGTGAGGTTTTTTTAAATACATCATGTAGGAAGTCTAGGAGTATTTTTAGTTGAAATATAAAATTGCTTCAAATGTCTTACTTGATCGACAGTCTGATTTAATGTAATATAGTATGATAAATACCCCTTTATTCCTGTTCCACTTCCTGCATATGCAGATAAGAAATTATGGAATGCTAACTTCTTTCTCAACCCTGCTTTTTAAGCTGAAATCTAAAAGTATGGAGTTTGCATGGTCTTTAAAAAGAGCTTACATGAGACATTTTCGTATGTCGGTGTAATCTTCCAACTTTTTCCAGATTGACCTTCCTAAGATTATATTTCTCTTCATTAGTTTCACTGACCTTTATTTTAAAATATATCCAGTGAAGTGTTATCTAGGACAGTATTTCTCAACCTAGACAATTTTAAGGCATGTGGACTTCAACTCCCAGAATTCCACAGCCAGCAATGCTGGCTGTGGAATTCTGGGAGTTGAAGTCCACATGCCTTAAAATTGTCAAGGTTGAGAAACACTGATCTAGGATCTACTTTCATTTTGGTTCCAATATGTTTCACTTACTAGGCCAGATGCTAGAACTCTTTGTATATAAACTACCTGAAAAATCCCTATGCTAAGGAATAATTTTGACTTGCCTAAAAGGAACATGAAATTTCTTCCATGCTTTTCCATTAGATTCTTGTTGTTGGCTGTGGCAATTCAGAACTAAGTGAGCAGCTCTATGATGAAGGCTATCACAATATCATCAGTGTGGACATTAATGAGCAGGTTGTTAAGCAGATGCAGGAACGCAGCACACAACTGAGACCCAAAATGACTTACATGGTAATGGATGTACTGCAAATGGATTTCCCTGATGAGCATTTCCAAGTGGTGTTTGATAAAGGCACTCTTGATGCCCTCCTGACTGATGGAGAAGAAACCAGTCTGAAAAGAGCTGAAAGAATGTTTGCTGAAATTGGCCGTGTCTTGCAATTTGGGGGCCGTTACCTATGTGTCTCCTTGGCTCAAGCACATGTATTGAAGGCAGCTGTGGAATATTTCTCTCAAAAAGGTTGGATGGTTCGAGTACATCAAGTCCCTGGCCAGAAAACAGACGCTTCAGAGCAGGATTTTGCTTTGCCTGTCTTTGTTTATGTTATGACAAAGATAAGACCGGTCCCTGGCTCTGTTTTATGCATTTTGGAGTTCTGTACTGAAACACAAGAGAAACCTGCCCGGTTCAAGAACAGTGAGCATCTGATTGATGCAGTGAAGGAGAGACAACACTACTCTCTGCTGCGGAATCAACTCAACAGGAACTCCATTGTAGGGACCATCTCTCTGGATCTCTGCAGCAAAGACACTGGCCAAACCCGCTATACTTTACATGTAGTGCATAGCCCAAAGATGAAAATGTTACGGGACAAACAATTTGCCATCTTTATCAGTGAGTTAATGTGTTCATTGTTCAGCCCACTGTATGGAGATCAAATAAAATTCAGACAACCCAAGATTCTTTCTGTCTTTAGATTCTCTTCCTCAAACATTGCTAATATTGTTAAGCAAAGTTTGCAGTATTTTCAGGTATTTGGAAGGGTAGCAAAATCTATTAAAATATTTATGGGATTGGTGAGTTTGTCAGTGCTAATTAGCAAGTAACTTTTAGGATTTTTTTTCTCTATGAATTTACCTTCCTTCATCCTCAAAGAATGAACCAGCAACTTTTGAATAGGTTCATATCAGACAGGAAAAAAAAGAGTTGAAAATTATTAAACGTTCTGTATCATAATATTTTCAAGTATCAGTTCATATTCTGATGTTTGAAATTCTAACTCACGAAATAAAAGTTATGAAAATAATAATTGTTGCAGTTTCTAACAAATGGTGATTTTTAGATATTTTTGCTTGCCCTTCTTTTGGTGGATAAAATATTTTAATATTCCCTGCATTTGTTTCTAAAACATCTGAATCGAGACCAAACTCTCACCTTTCCAATATATGATTAATTAATTATGAATAATTGAATAAATATTCTAAGAAAGTAGTGATCAAAGCTTTATGTAAGGATAAATATTAATCATGGTTAACACAGTATGAATTACCAAGGAAAGCAATAAGCGGCAACATGAGAACAGAAATTTTGTTCTGCTTTAAATATTCCATGAAACTGAAATATAGAATCTGGGCATTGAAAAAAATGCAAAAAGTCAATATTTTTGATGAGGCACAAATCCTTTCTGTTACCTGATCCAGTACCACAGGGCAGAGAAACTGAGTGGCTCTTTGGGACGGAGGAGGGACGGAAGCAGTTGGCTGTGAGTGCAGGATTTTGGCGACTGGTAACTGTGGCCTTACATAGAAATCAACACTATGACAACATGGGAGCCATCCAGGCAGAACTGTCAGAAAAAGTGATGGAACTAGCCCCCCCTGGGCTTCCACCCCAGCAGCAGGTATGTCTTTTGTGTGGCTAATGACCAGTAAAAGATCTGTTTAGCCCTGTGATCTTCTCCAACAGTGGCCCACTGGATAACTAGGGCACAGGTCGGCAACCTGCGGCTCCGGAGCCGCATGCGGCTCTTTGAGCCTTCCCCTGTGGCTCCCAGCCTCCTCTGCCTTTGCAGAGAGAGACAGAGACAGAGAGAGGCAATTGCACTTCCCTGCTTCTCTCTCTCTCTGTGTCTGGGTGTGTGTGTGTGTGTTTTGTGTGTGTGTGTGTGTGTGTGTGTATGTGTAAAAGAGAGTGCACTCACAGTGTTCTCTGAGGAGCTGAAAAGCTTACTGGGCGGAGCTCCTCCCTTTGCTGCGTCCCTGCAGGAAGCAGGAAGGGCAGGAGAGAGCTAGCTAGCCCAGCTAGGCTGACTCAGGAATTCTGGGAGTTGAAGTCCATGAGTCATAAAAGAGATGAGGTTTTCTACACCTGAGCTTGTTGGGACAACAGCTTGAAGCTTGCCAGGTGAGCAGCAGATAGGAGAGGGGGGAGAAAGAGAGAGAAAGAGAGAGGGAGGGAGGGAGAGAGAGAGTGTGTGTGTGGGGGGGGAAGAGGAGTGGTAGACCAAGGGCAGATAGAGAGGGAGGGAGGGAGGGAGAGAGACACAGAGAGAGACCCTTTTGACATCTAAAATGAAGATAACACTGCATATATCCTTTTTTTACCTATGTGTGTATGTAATTTTATTCTCTTAAAGCATTCTCTTGGTGATCATTGTTTTAATAGTATGGATATTCCCAAGAGTCATATTTTTACTTTTATTTTTAATGTGTATATATGTGTGTGTGTGTGTGTGTGTGTGCGCACACACACACACACACACACACACACACACCGATAATAAAGGTAAAAAAGGATATATGCAGTGTTATCTTCATTTTAGATATCAAAAGGGTTTTGCGGCTCCCAATGTTTTGTTTTTGGTGGGAAACGGGTCCAAGTGGCTCTTTGAGTGTTTTGGGTTGCCTACCCCTGAACTAGGGGAAGCCAACAAGCAGGATGCGATTATAGTAGCACTTTCTTGCTGATATTTTTAGCAATTAGTATTCAGAAGCTATTCAGAAGCCGACTGCTTTTGATGATGGTTAACATATGTGATAGAAGCTCTAGGTAATTTTTTTCCTCCTTGAATTGTTCAGTGATGATGTGATGGTTTCTTTGAGCAATGCCATATGAATT